CAGGCTGCGGCAGAGACTATGCGCGACACCCATCGGGGCATGCACGCTCGTCGCCTACCCTGGTACTGACTACCGAGGCGCTGCGACCGCTATGTGCGGGCAATGTGGTTACAACCGGCCCTTGTCGGCCTTCCGGCGGCTTCTTCTGGCTACTCTAACTTAAATTGACATGACATAACATAACGTAACACGAACAAATAGACATGAATTGTTCGTAAATTACCGGATAAAACTGAACATTACTCGGTCACGGCCTATCATGGCCGAAACCGAACTTAACCTAGCCTTAAACATGAATGGCCGAACATGATTTGGTCATAATGAACTTAGCATAATCTTGTTAACACTAAAAGAATGTTAGTATATAATTACCTCCTCAAACGATCAAGAAATTATGCTTGGCTTCGTGCGCTCGCTCGCGTCTGCTCGGTAGGCGTGCGTACTCGGCTTCTCTCAGCGATGGCTAACTACGGTAGCTCTTGCTAGATGAAATGGGTTTATATAATGCTGAGTGATCATAAAATTAAACTTTTCTCCACTCCAATGATAGACTATACGAACGATCAAAGGAAAATGGAAAGCAAGGAAATTATCTTCTCCTTTCCATTAATTCTCCATTTTTAGGCTAAGAAAGGTGACATTTATGGAATATGCTGAGTGAAGTGGATTTAATATTTTCCTCAATCTGATGCTAGATTATAAATATTATGAAGGAAGTCTAGATAAACAAAGACTAACATCAATCCTTCTAACGACACATGTCATTCCATGAGCTTAAATGAGGAACACTAATCCTTAACTATATCCAGGTGTCATTATGCTACAAATTCAGTCATGCAATGTAGTATCATTACCCAGGCTGAATATCACTTGGCCTTACTAATAATTTAAGGCTCGGCAAATGGGCTTTATGCCAAATTGAACATGACTTGACCGAATTTATTCGGTTCCAGTCGCAGCTTAACTTCGACGATTAATCGAATATTCTCAAATTTGATTAATACATCAACATTGAAATATTTAATCCCAACTTTCTGATGTCCCTTTACTAAATAAACGGATTGAGATTAATTTCTATCATTGACTTGGTTAATAAATAAAATTAACCGGAGATGT